GACAGTACAGGGATAGAACAAAGGGACAGACTACAGGGATAGTCTACAGGGACAGTCTACAGGGACAGAACAAAGGGACAGACTACAGGGACAGTCTACAGGGACAGACTATAGGGACAGACTACAGGGACAGTCTACAGGGACAGAACAAAGGGACAGACTACAGGGACAGTCTACAGGGACAGACTATAGGGACAGACTATAGGGAGAGAACAAAGGGACAGTCTACAGGGACAGAGCAAAGGGACAGTCTACAGGGACAGACTACAGGTACAGACTATAGGGACAGACCACAGGGATAGAACAAAGGGACAGTCTACAGGGACAGTCTACAGGGACAGACTACAGGACAGTCTACAGGGAAAGAACAAAGGGACAGTCTACAGGGACAGTCTACAGGGACAGACTACAGGGACAGAACAAAGGGACAGTCTACAGGACAGTCTACAGGGACAGAACAAAGGGACAGTCTACAGGGACAGTCTACAGGGACAGACTACAGGGACAGAACAAAGGGACAGTCTACAGGGACAGGGACTACAGGACAGTCTACAGGGACAGACTACAGGGATAGAACAAAGGGACAGACTACAGGGACAGACTACAGGGACAGTCTACAGGGACAGTCTACAGGGACAGACTACAGGGACAGACTACAGGGACAGACTACAGGGACAGACTACAGGGACAGACTACAGGGACAGAACAAAGGGACAGACTACAGGGACAGTCTACAGGGACAGACTACAGGGACAGAACAAAGGGACAGTCTACAGGGACATGGACTACAGGACAGTCTACAGGGACAGACTACAGGGATAGAACAAAGGGACAGACTACAGGGACAGTCTACAGGGACAGTCTACAGGGACAGTCTACAGGGACAGACTACAGGGACAGAACAAAGGGACAGACTACAGGGACAGAACAAAGGGACAGACTACAAGGACAGACTACAGGGATAGAACAAAGGGACAGACTACAAGGACAGACTACAGGGATAGAACAAAGGGACAGACTACAGGGATAGAACAAAGGGACAGACTACAGAGATAGAACAAAGGGACAGACTACAGAGACAGACTACAGGGACAGTACAAAGGGACAGACTACAGGGACAGAACAAAGGGACAGACTACAGGGACAGAACAAAGGGACAGAACAAAGGGACAGACTAAAGGGATAGTCTACAGGGACAGAACAAAGGGACAGACTACAGGGACAGTCTACAGGGACAGACTATAGGGACAGACTACAGGGACAGTACAAAGGGACAGACTACAGGGACAGAACAAAGGGACAGACTACAGGGACAGTCTACAGGGACAGACTATAGGGACAGACTACAGGGACAGAACAAAGGGACAGACTAAAGGGACAGTCTACAGGGACAGAACAAAGGGACAGACTACAGGGACAGTCTACAGGGACAGACTAAAGGGACAGAACAAAGGGACAGTCTACAGAGACGGACTACAGAGACAGAACAAAGGGACAGACTACAGGGACAGAACAAAGGGACAGACTACAAGGACAGACTACAGGGATAGAACAAAGGGACAGACTACAGAGATAGAACAAAGGGACAGTCTACAGGGACAGACTACAGAGACAGACTACAGGGACAGTACAGGGATAGAACAAAGGGACAGACTACAGGGATAGTCTACAGGGACAGTCTACAGGGACAGAACAAAGGGACAGACTACAGGGACAGTCTACAGGGACAGACTATAGGGACAGACTACAGGGACAGTCTACAGGGACAGAACAAAGGGACAGACTACAGGGACAGTCTACAGGGACAGACTATAGGGACAGACTATAGGGAGAGAACAAAGGGACAGTCTACAGGGACAGAGCAAAGGGACAGTCTACAGGGACAGACTACAGGTACAGACTATAGGGACAGACCACAGGGATAGAACAAAGGGACAGTCTACAGGGACAGTCTACAGGGACAGACTACAGGACAGTCTACAGGGAAAGAACAAAGGGACAGTCTACAGGGACAGTCTACAGGGACAGACTACAGGGACAGAACAAAGGGACAGTCTACAGGACAGTCTACAGGGACAGAACAAAGGGACAGTCTACAGGGACAGTCTACAGGGACAGACTACAGGGACAGAACAAAGGGACAGTCTACAGGGACATGGACTACAGGACAGTCTACAGGGACAGACTACAGGGATAGAACAAAGGGACAGACTACAGGGACAGACTACAGGGACAGTCTACAGGGACAGTCTACAGGGACAGACTACAGGGACAGACTACAGGGACAGACTACAGGGACAGACTACAGGGACAGACTACAGGGACAGTCTACAGGGACAGACTACAGGGACAGTCTACAGGGACATGGACTACAGGACAGTCTACAGGGACAGACTACAGGGATAGAACAAAGGGACAGACTACAGGGACAGTCTACAGGGACAGTCTACAGGGACAGTCTACAGGGACAGAATACAGGGACAGAACAAAGGGACAGACTACAGGGACAGAACAAAGGGACAGACTACAAGGACAGACTACAGGGATAGAACAAAGGGACAGACTACAAGGACAGACTACAGGGATAGAACAAAGGGACAGACTACAGGGATAGAACAAAGGGACAGACTACAGAGATAGAACAAAGGGACAGACTACAGAGACAGACTACAGGGACAGTACAAAGGGACAGACTACAGGGACAGAACAAAGGGACAGACTACAGGGACAGAACAAAGGGACAGAACAAAGGGACAGACTAAAGGGATAGTCTACAGGGACAGTCTACAGGGACAGAACAAAGGGACAGACTACAGGGACAGTCTACAGGGACAGACTATAGGGACAGACTACAGGGACAGTACAAAGGGACAGACTACAGGGACAGAACAAAGGGACAGACTACAGGGACAGTCTACAGGGACAGACTATAGGGACAGACTACAGGGACAGAACAAAGGGACAGACTAAAGGGACAGTCTACAGGGACAGAACAAAGGGACAGACTACAGGGACAGTCTACAGGGACAGACTACAGGGACAGAACAAAGGGACAGTCTACAGAGACGGACTACAGAGACAGAACAAAGGGACAGACTACAGGGACAGTCTACAGGGACAGAACAAAGGGACAGACTACAGGGACAGTCTACAGGGACAGACTATAGGGACAGACTACAGGGACAGTACAAAGGGACAGACTACAGGGACAGAACAAAGGGACAGACTACAGGGACAGTCTACAGGGACAGACTATAGGGACAGACTACAGGGACAGAACAAAGGGACAGACTAAAGGGATAGTCTACAGGGACAGTCTACAGGGACAGAACAAAGGGACAGACTACAGGGACAGTCTACAGGGACAGACTATAGGGACAGACTACAGGGACAGTACAAAGGGACAGACTACAGGGACAGAACAAAGGGACAGACTACAGGGACAGTCTACAGGGACAGACTATAGGGACAGTCTACAGGGACAGAACAAAGGGACAGTCTACAGGGATAGACTATAGGGACAGTCTACTGGGACAGAACAAAGGGACAGACCACAGGGATAGAACAAAGGGACAGTCTACTGGGACAGAACAAAGGGACAGACTACAGGACAGTCTACAGGGACAGAACAAAGGGACAGTCTACAGGGACAGACTATAGGGACAGACCACAGGGATAGAACAAAGGGACAGTCTACAGGGACAGAACAAAGGGACAGACTACAGGACAGTCTACAGGGACAGAACAAAGGGACAGTCTACAGGGACAGACTACAGGGACAGACTACATGGATAGAAAAAGGGACAGTCTACAGAGATGGACTACAGGACAGTCTACAGGGACAGACTACAGGGACAGAACAAAGGGACAGTCTACAGACACGGACTACAGGACAGTCTACAGGGACAGACTACAGGGACAGACTACAGGGACAGACTACAGGGACAGTCTATAGGGACAGACTAAAGGGATAGAACAAAGGGACAGTCTACAGAGACGGACTACAGGGACAGAACAAAGGGACGGACTACAGGGACAGAACAAAGGGACAGTCTACAGGGACAGACTACAGGGACAGAACAAAGGGACAGTCTACAGAGACGGACTACAGAGACAGAACAAAGGGACAGACTACAGGGACAGTCTACAGGGACAGAACAAAGGGACAGTCTACAGAGACGGGCTACAGAGACAGTCTACTACTTAAAGTAGCAGCAGCAGCAACCCAGACTGACAGCTCATTGGCTCATTTGGATCACGTGCAGCCTGGAGCCGGACGCTCCCCAGGGCTTTACCGTATTAACAGGAGAAGAGGCGCAAGTGAAATTAGACAGTGCCGTCAGAAAACATGCAGAAATTTATAAACGTTTGAAGTCAGGTTAGTTCTGGACTTCTAATCCGTGACCTCTGCCCTAGATAATGACCACAATAGACAATAACTTCTGTTTTTTTTCACCACACGACACCTGGAAAAAAAACAAAAAACTTTCAGATGTCTATTTATTTTATTTTCTTGGAAGCTTTTTTTTCGGTTGAATCAGCAGATTTCACATCATGACGCAGCGTTTGACTTTAGGTGAGTCACACTGAAACATCCGTCTGTAAGAGACGGATAATGTTGCAATAAATAAAAGAAAATCACACAAAAATTAAGATCAAACAGTTTTCTTAAAGGCAGATTTAATGGAGCTCTCACCTCATAAAAATGTCTTCTAATAAAATCCAGCAGGACAAATGCGTTATGAGCTGTTTCTGAATCTAGACGATGTTTTATAATTGAGAAATAAATTATTCTGACGGAAAAGTCGTAGCTGTGACCTTTAAATATATTCCTCTCAAACAGATCGTTGTTACGAAATAGTTTTTTTAAGGGTTCAGCTCCTTTTAGGAACATAAGCAGATAAAAAGATTCTGCTTTTGCTCTTTTTAAGGTTAAATTTAACAGCATTCAGATGATTTCTTTTAAAATAACTTATTTATTCTTTTTTTTTCATTTTCAGCGACTATCTGTTCAAGCTGCTCCTGATCGGAGACTCTGGGGTGGGAAAATCCTGTCTGCTGCTCCGCTTCGCTGTGAGTATCGCCTCACCTCTGTTCCTTCCTGCTGTCTGACTGATGCGTTCGGGGTTCTGATGCGTTCAGGCTCTGATGCGTTCGGGTTCTGATGCGTTCGGGTTCTGATGCGTTCGGGTTCTGATGCGTTCAGGCTCTGATGCGTTCAGACTCTGATGCGTTCGGGTTCTGATGCGTTCGGGTTCTGATGCGTTCGGGTTCTGATACGTTCATGCTCTGATGCGTTCGGGCTCTTATGTGTTCATGTTCTGATGCGTTCAGGTTCTGATACGTTCATGCTCTGATGCGTTCGGGCTCTTATGTGTTCATGTTCTGATGCGTTCAGGTTCTGATACGTTCATGCTCTGATGCGTTCGGGCTCTTATGTGTTCATGTTCTGATGCGTTCAGGTTCTGATACGTTCATGCTCTGATACGTTCATGCTCTGATGCGTTCGGGCTCTTATGTGTTCATGTTCTGATGCGTTCGGGTTCTGATACGTTCATGCTCTGATGCGTTCGGGCTCTTATGTGTTCATGTTCTGATGCGTTCAGGTTCTGATACGTTCATGCTCTGATGCGTTCGGGCTCTGATGCGTTCATTTTCTGATGCGTTCAGGTTCTCATGCGTTCAGGTTCTGATACGTTCAGGTTGTGATGCGTTCAGGTTCTCCCTGTCTTCTGTTCTCCTCCAGGATGACACCTACACAGAGAGCTACATCAGCACCATCGGGGTGGACTTGCTCTGATGCGTTCAGGTTCTGATACGTTCATGCTCTGATGCGTTCGGGCTCTGATGCGTTCATTTTCTGATGCGTTCATTTTCTGATGCGTTCAGGTTCTCATGCGTTCAGGTTCTGATACGTTCAGGTTGTGATGCGTTCAGGTTCTGGTCCTTTCAGGTTATGATGCATTCAGGTTCTCCCTGTCTTCTGTTCTCCTCCAGGATGACACCTACACAGAGAGCTACATCAGCACCATCGGGGTGGACTTGCTCTGATGCGTTCAGACTCTGATGCGTTCATTTTTTGATGCGTTCAGGTTATGATGCGTTCAGATTATGATACTTTCAGGTTCTGATACGTTCGGGCTCTTATGTGTTCTGATGCGTTCAGGTTATGATGCGTTCATTTTCTGATGCAGGTTCTGATGCGTTCAGGCTCTAATACGTTCGGGCTCTTATGTGTTCTGATGCGTTCAGGTTCTGATGCGTTCAGGTTCTGATGCGTTCGGGTTCTGATGCGTTCGGGTTCTGATGCGTTCAGGCACTGATGCGTTCAGGCACTGATGCGTTCGGGTTCTGATGCGTTCGGGTTCTGATGCGTTCGGGTTCTGATGCGTTCGGGTTCTGATGCGTTCGGGTTCTGATGCGTTGGGGGTTCTGATGCGTTGGGGGTTCTGATGCGTTCGGGTTCTGATGCGTTCGGGGCTCTGATACGTTCAGGTTCTGATGCGTTCATTTTCTGATGCGTTCAGGTTCTGATGCGTTCAGGTTCTGATGCGTTCGGGCTCTTATGTGTTCATGTTCTGATGCGTTCAGGTTCTGATACGTTCATGCTCTGATACGTTCGGGCTCTGATGCGTTCATTTTCTGATGCGTTCGGGGCTCTGATACGTTCAGGTTCTGATGCGTTCATTTTCTGATGCGTTCGGGGCTCTGATACGTTCAGGTTCTGATGCGTTCATTTTCTGATGCGTTCAGGTTCTGATGCGTTCAGGTTCTGATGCGTTCGGGCTCTTATGTGTTCATGTTCTGATGCGTTCAGGTTCTGATACGTTCATGCTCTGATACGTTCGGGCTCTGATGCGTTCATTTTCTGATGCGTTCGGGGCTCTGATACGTTCAGGTTCTGATGCGTTCATTTTCTGATGCGTTCAGGTTCTGATGCGTTCAGGTTCTGATGCGTTCAGGTTCTGATGCGTTCGGGCTCTTATGTGTTCATGTTCTGATGCGTTCAGGTTCTGATACGTTCATGCTCTGATACGTTCATGCTCTGATGCGTTCGGGCTCTTATGTGTTCATGTTCTGATGCGTTCAGGTTCTGATACGTTCATGCTCTGATGCGTTCCGGCTCTGATGCGTTCATTTTCTGATGCGTTCGGGCTCTGATGCGTTCATTTTCTGATGCGTTCGGGCTCTGATGCGTTCATTTTCTGATGCGTTCATTTTCTGATGCGTTCAGGTTCTCATGCGTTCAGGTTCTGATACGTTCATGCTCTGATGCGTTCGGGCTCTGATGCGTTCATTTTCTGATGCGTTCGGGCTCTGATGCGTTCATTTTCTGATGCGTTCATTTTCTGATGCGTTCAGGTTCTCATGCGTTCAGGTTCTGATACGTTCAGGTTGTGATGCGTTCAGGTTCTGGTCCTTTCAGGTTATGATGCATTCAGGTTCTCCCTGTCTTCTGTTCTCCTCCAGGATGACACCTACACAGAGAGCTACATCAGCACCATCGGGGTGGACTTGCTCTGATGCGTTCAGGCTCTGATGCGTTCAGGCTCTGATGCGTTCATTTTTTGATGCGTTCAGTTTCTGATGCGTTCAGGTTCTGATGCGTTCGGGCTCTTATGTGTTCATGTTCTGATGCGTTCAGGTTCTGATACGTTCATGCTCTGATGCGTTCGGGCTCTGATGCGTTCATTTTCTGATGCGTTCGGGCTCTGATGCGTTCATTTTCTGATGCGTTCATTTTCTGATGCGTTCAGGTTCTCATGCGTTCAGGTTCTGATACGTTCAGGTTGTGATGCGTTCAGGTTCTGGTCCTTTCAGGTTATGATGCATTCAGGTTCTCCCTGTCTTCTGTTCTCCTCCAGGATGACACCTACACAGAGAGCTACATCAGCACCATCGGGGTGGACTTGCTCTGATGCGTTCAGGCTCTGATGCGTTCAGGCTCTGATGCGTTCATTTTTTGATGCGTTCAGTTTCTGATGCGTTCAGGTTATGATGCGTTCAGATTATGATACTTTCAGGTTCTGATACGTTCAGGTTGTGATGCGTTCATTTTCTGATGCAGGTTCTGATGCGTTCAGGCTCTAATACGTTCGGGCTCTTATGTGTTCTGATGCGTTCAGGTTCTAGTCCTTTCAGGTTCTGGTCAGTTCAGGTTCTGATGCATTCAGGTTATGATGCGTTCGGGTTATGATGCAGGTTCTGATGCGTTCAGGCTCTAATACGTTCGGGCTCTTATGTGTTCTGATGCGTTCAGGTTCTAGTCCTTTCAGGTTCTGGTCAGTTCAGGTTCTGATGCATTCAGGTTATGATGCGTTCGGGTTATGATGCAGGTTCTGATGCGTTCGGGCTCTGATACGTTCAGGTTGTGATGCGTTCAGGTTCTGGTCCTTTCAGGTTATGATGCATTCAGGTTCTCCCTGTCTTCTGTTCTCCTCCAGGATGACACCTACACAGAGAGCTACATCAGCACCATCGGGGTGGACTTTAAGATCCGCACCATCGAGCTGGACAGCAAGACCATCAAGCTGCAGATTGTGAGTCGATAGATACCAGAACCAAGCTAAAGCTAACGCTAAACATCCTGCTGGTGTTTGAGGCTCTGCTCACTTCCTGCTCCATCGTTAGGTTCTAATCCAGGGTTCTGCTGCTTTTGAACCCAGAGAGACGTTTCTTTTTTTTTTCTTTTAAAGTAGAACAGGAAAGGAAGAAGAGAAAAACAAGTAGAAAATATGAAAGAAAGAGGAGATAAAGGGAGATGATCAGTGAATCTCTGGAACTCCATTTTACTTTGTAAAAAAAACACTTAAATTACATTTTCTATATTTACATCAAACACAGCAAGACGCTTTAAATTAAAACGGTTAAACTTTTACCAATATAAAAAAGAAATAAAAGGAGATATTTAAAATTAAATAAAATCTGGAAAAATATATGAAAAATAGAATTAAAATTTTGAAGATTTCGACATGTATTTGAAAATATAAAATCTGAAAAGAGTTTCCATTTATCATTAATTAAAGCCTAAAGCCTCTTTTTCTTTTTTTTGGTGGCTTAGAATTTTTTCAAAGTTCCAATTTTGGAAAATACATGGAGGAAAAATTTGTTCGATCATGGATTACTCATAAAGAGTTTTCCAAGTTGCATCTTTGGAAGTTTTTCCGCCAAACGTTCGTCTCTGTTTCATTTTTCTTTGCTGTGAATAAATCAGATCTGTGCAGCAGAGCAGGACGAAGGAAGCGGCCGCAGATCGCTCCTCTTCCTCTTTCATGGTTTCTACCGAGGAGGAAGGTCAGGCTGCAGCAGGTCGTTGGCTTGGTGACCAAAAAGGAACCGAGTCGGTTCTGGTCTGACGCTCTGAACGCCGCGGCCACACCTCCTGTCATCACGACGCAGCAGCAGGCGGTTTAAGACGCTTTTTTTATCTGACATCATTTAATCTTTTAACAACGTTTAGGATTTAAATAAGCAGCTAAATGATAGAGCTGCACCTCAGGATGTTTCTGACCCCATTCTGGGCGGGCTGCGACCCGGCAGTGGCGGCGAGCTGCGACCTAGCGGCGGCGGGCTGTGACCCAGCAGGCTCCCTAACCTGGTCCCAGCAGTCAGAAATATGTAGCTTCATTGGTACCATCAGCAGTCGGGCGTCGAGGTCAGCTGAAGCTCAGCATTGCTGCTCCCTCATTGTTAATGTCTGGTTTTATGTTGTCAATAAAGTTGTTAATCACGGTTTCATTTTCATACAAATGGAGGAAGAGAAAGGAACATTGCGTCAGAATAATCAGTATCGGCCTTAAGAAGCCTGGATCAGACCATCGCTTTTTCTAAGTTCTGGTTCCATAAAATAAAACCTCAGATGAAATATCGGCTTTACCAGCTGGATCGGTCAATGCTGGTCATTTTGAAGCATATTGGTCCAATTAGTACAAGATCGGATGTTTCTGTTTTATCTTACCAACAGAAAGAACATTTATTCTTATAGTTGCTGTTTTGTCTTCCTGCTCCATCAGTGGGACACGGCAGGACAGGAGAGGTTTCGAACCATCACCTCTAGTTATTATCGTGGCGCCCACGGCATCATCGTAGTTTACGACGTGACCGATCAGGTGAGTCCAACAGGAGACCAGAGATTTATTTACATTTGGATGTTTCCTCTAACGCCTCCTATTTATGGAGAGAAATTTGACCCAGAATTATTGAAAGCAAAAGACAGAAAGCAAAAGACATATGTCAAAAAAGGAAATTTGAAGAAAATGCTTTTCAATAATTGACCTTAAAAACTTGTCAATCAAAAAAATAAATAGTAATTCAGAATATTTATGTCAAAGTTTAATATTCAATTTTTTTTTTACTTTTTTCAGTTTTTTCACATTTTATTCTTTACATTTTTTATTTTTTTATGACTGCTTTGGAAAAGCTACTGGTCCTCATTCCAACCATCCGACAGTAGAGGATAAAATCTGTTAAACATGAATTTTTTCTTTAAATGTATGTTACAAAAAAAATATTTTATTTTGTTTCAGAAAAAGAAATTAACTATTAAAGAATTTTAGGAAAAAAAGTTAACTGAAAAAAAAAACAAATTTACAAAATTATTTGAAAAAATAATGTATGTTAGATAAAAAATGTGAAAACTAAAACATTTGGTTGAACTTTAACCTTTTAACATGAGAATGTTGGACTTTATCTCTCTGCTTTTCCAGGAGTCTTATAACAACATCAAACAGTGGCTGCAGGAAATCGATCGCTACGCCAGTGAAAATGTTAACAAGCTTCTGGTGGGAAACAAGTGCGACCTCACTACTAAGAAAGTGGTCGACTACACAACAGCCAAGGTAAAATGAGACGTTTGAGGCCCGCCAGTTTTTCCAGATATCCATTTTCTTTACCTGATTTGCAAAAACTATCTAGAAATAAGTAGAAACCTTTTAAATTACGTGTATTTCCCAACCAGCAGAGCTCCGAGGCTAACCGCAGCCAGGGCTAACGTTAGCCCGTCTGCAGCGGCCTTGGCTAGCGTTAGCCCGTCTGCAGCAGCCAAGGCTAAAATTAACCGGTCTGCAGCGGCCGTGGCTAGCGTTAGTCCGTATGCAGCAGCCTTGGCTAGCGTTAGCCCGTCTGCAGCGGCCTTGGCTAGCGTTAGCCCGTCTGCAGTGGCCGTGGCTAGCGTTAGTCCATATGCAGCAGCCTTGGCTAGTGTTAGCCCGTCTGCAGCAGCCTTGGCTAGCGTTAGCCCGTCTGCAGCAGCCAAGGCTAAAATTAACCGGTCTGCAGCGGCCGTGGCTAGCGTTAGTCCGTATGCAGCAGCCTTGGCTAGCGTTAGCCCGTCTGCAGCGGCCGTGGCTAGCGTTAGTCCATATGCAGCAGCCTTGGCTAGCGTTAGCCCGTCTGCAGCGGCCTTGGCTGGCGTTAGCCCGTCTACAGCGGCCAAGGCTAAAGTTAACCCGTCTGCAGCGGCATTGGCTAGCGTTAGCCCGTATGCCGCGGCTAGCGTTAGCCCGTCTGCAGCAGCCGCGGCTAGTGTTAGCCCGTCTGCAGCAGCCTTGGCTAGCGTTAGCCTATCTGCAGCGGCCGCGGCTAGCATTAGTCCGTATGCAGCAGCCTTGGCTAGCGTTAGCCCGTCTGCAGCGGCCTTGGCTAGCGTTAACCCATCTGCAGCGGCCTTGGCTAGCGTTAGTCCGTATGCAGCAGCCTTGGCTAGCGTTAGCCCGTCTGCAGCGGCCTTGGCTAGTGTTAGCCCATCTACAGAAGCCAAGGCTAAAGGTAACCGGTCTGCAGCGGCCTTGGCTAGCGTTAGCCCGTCTGCAGCGGCCAAGGCTAAAGTTAACCCGTCTGCAGCAGCCAGGGCTAACTATAGCCTGTCTCCAGCAGCCGCGGCTAGCGTTAGCCCGTCTGCAGTGACCTTGGCTTGCGTTAGCCCGTCTGCAGCAGCCGCGGCTAGCGTTAGCCCGTCTGCAGCAGCCGCGGCTAGCGTTAGCCCGTCTGCAGTGACCTTGGCTTGCGTTAGCCCGTCTGCAGCAGCCGCGGCTAGCGTTAGCCCGTCTGCAGCGACCCTCTCTTTCCTTTATTCCCCCAATAAATGAAAAGTCATAATAACAGGAGGTGAAATGCAGCTCCAGGCGAGCTGAGCGCGTGGTGATGTCATCAGTGTGATTTCTGTTCCAGTTGGCCAGATTTATGCTGCGTTTTCCCGTTAAAGCGTTTATGGAGGGAAAGAATAATTTTTTTGTGATTGAGTCTTGGCATAAACGCGCTGCTTGAAGCGTGAAGTCGTTCTTCAGCGTTTCACCGCCATCTCTCCTTTTTTCTTTTCCCTGACAGGAGTTTGCCGACTCTCTGGCCATCCCTTTCCTGGAGACCAGTGCCAAGAACGCCACCAACGTGGAGCAGGCTTTCATGACCATGGCGGCTGAGATCAAGAAGCGCATGGGCCCCGGGGCCACGGCCAGCGGGGACAAGCCCAACCTAAAGATCGAGAGCACCCCAGTGAGGCAGTCTGGAGGGGGCTGCTGTTAAGGGACCCCCAGTCCTCCCATCACGGTTTTATCCCCGCCCCTTACCCCCCACCCCACCCCCAGCTTGCTCTTTTCTCCCACCTGGAAAAACGGTAGAAGGTTTCTTTAGTCGGTCGGCGAGTCGTCAGACGGTGGAGAGGTTCTACCCAGAATCCTTTAGGGGCGGCGTCCTGCATGCGACTGATGATCCTGGTTCAACGCCACACCAATAAAAAGCGTTGGACGGGAGAAAAAGATCCATGTTGTTACAGACGGCGTTCTCTAGAACCGTTAGCAGTTATGACCAAACCTTTCTTCTTTTTCTCTTCTTCCATCCTGTCTTTTTTTTTTTTTGGTCCTGGAAGTCTCCGCTGCTAACATATTTAGCCTCCCTCCTGTTAGCCTCCAGATGAAGCTCTCTCAGGCTAACTCCGCCACCGCGCCTCCTAACTTCCTGTTAGCCTTCAGTTCTCACCTTCAGCTCCAACAATCGGAGGCTTCCACATGTTTAGAAAGCTCCTAGCCAAACCTCGGCGGGGAAAAGCTGGAACCGATGAGTTCCCTCTGGGCTGATTCTGCCTTAGCGGCATTTTTACGCGTTCATAGGAGCTGTGATCTAGCTGCTAGCCGTCCTGTCTGATATCTCTTTCCATTAAGACACTAAATACTTCCATCATCAGCAGGTGGCACCAATCCCCATCCACGATATCGTCATTACAGTGAGCTAGAAGCCTTTAGCATTAGCTTGATTTTCTTCGGGGTTTTGGTGATATTTTACGCTAACCTACAAACGAAGGGAAGAGACGTCACCGTCCTAGCTAGCCCCCAACCATCCAACATCCTGTAGCTTGAGCTTCGCCTTTAGCATCATGAGCACTATGGATGGGTTAGCTAATGTTTGTTAGCCGCATGGTGGACATCCAGAACAGCCTTCTTTTTTTTTTTTCATCTGCAGCCTTAAAACTTTATGAGAAAAAAAATGACACACTCCATCTTTAAAATTATGGAGATAGATTGGAGCCATAAATTTGTTTTTTTTTTTTACTAAAAATAAATTTTGAAACAAAAAAATAAATTTGAATCCCAAAAAAACGATTTAAAAATTAAAATAATGTGAAGTTGAAAAGGAAGTTTTTGAAACTACTTTTCAGTTTTGTTTTTAATATAACATTAAAAAATGGAAAAGAAAATCTGATACTGGAGTAAAAAAAAAAAAATTTGAGAAGTGGTTTAAAAGACTTATAATCGATTTTTTTTTCTTCTGTTACACAATTTTTAAATCATTTCAGTTATAAAAATGATGTAGTTCCAAGTGTTTTTTTTTTTTTGTTTTTTTTTCCGAATTGTGTTTCAGTTTCTACAATTTTTTTCCCACTTTAAAAACAAAAAAAAATTTGACTCAACTTTATGGCCCCTATGTAGCTCCATAGGTAGACTCATCCCGACCTGATGTACTTCCAGCAAACCGGAGCGTGTCGATCGGATCAGACTGGGCGACGTTCCGATGTCCCCGACCGATGTTAGCGCCGCCGTATCCGTGAGTTAGGAGTCTGTTCTGATGCCTGCAGCTGTTTCAGGACCTCCTGCTATGAATCAAAACTGGAATCTTGCTGCTGATCAAAAAATAAATAACATAAAAATATTTTCCCGCTAAAGTGAACAGGACCCCCCCCCCCACCCCCACCCCACCCCCCCTTAGCTAGCAGCTCTGCAGCCTCGGCGACTTCATCTGGACCTTCAGGGACTGACTGGTCTGGGATCGACGACCGGATATGAACTCCCTGACTTTTAATAAAAAAAAAATAAAGATTTCTGATTCCCTTTCCTACCCCCCCCCCCCACCCCCCCTCCCTTAAACACCAAAACTCTGGAGGTTGAGCATAAAGTGTACAGAGCAGGAAGAAGGTGCATCTCTCCATCACGGCATCACGCCGTCCTCACCGCCGCCGCCGGTGCAGAACAAGAATCCACAGTAAAGCGGTCTTATTCTCACGCGTGGATCTTTGGGCTTTGATCGCACGTTTTTTTTTGTTTGTTTGTTTTTGTTTTTGTTGCCTGTCTCTGTTGTCCAGGCGACGGATTGTTGGTGTTCTTTCATTGAATCCTGTGTGTTTAGGAAGGATCAGGCTGATCTGTAGGTGGGAAGACGGGGACTGGAGTCTTTGGCTCATGAATGTGATTTGGCTTTTTTTTTACTTTTTACTTCTGTTTCGGGTTTCCTTTGATCGGGGGGTGGGGGGGGTATTTTGTGTCATTTTGCACATTTTTTTTTCTTGCTTTCCAGTAGTTGAATGCAGCAGGCGCTCTGTAGAAGGTGTTAGCTAAAGAAACACCAGCTAATCGCTGTCATGTCACTTTTTCTGTCTCGTTTGGCTTGTTCCCTTCGGTTTCTGTCTCACTGCACGGTTTAAACTTGTCTTTTTCTGTACATAATAAAAAAGATATATGTAATAAAATTCTGGAAAAACAGCGGCTGGAGACGGTCTGAAAATGTCCGTCTGTCTCGCAGGTGATTGTCCTTCCTGGTTTAGATGGAGGAATTCTTCAGGATGAGGTTTTATATGAGTCAAATGTTAATGTTTTAAAGCTTTTAAATGAAATCTGCTGCTGATGTCAGAAAAGATGCCAATTTGTAGATTAGATAATTTTTCTAAATGAGCTCAGAGCTAAAAACTTCAGGTAAGTCCATTTAGTAAAAAACTTGTTTCCTGATTGTAAAAGTGTTTAAAAAATAATTTCTATTCAAACGTCGAGTTGAACCAAAGTATTTAAATCCAGACGTCTGCTTGTGCTGTTATGTTTAAACATTGATAGGACAGAGCCAGAGGAAGGAGATAATAGAAAGTATGGAGTTAAATATGGAGCGTAAATTTTGTTCACTACTTTTATTTATTTTTTTTTATTGAAAATTTAACTAAACCCTTTTTATTTTTTAATCTAAAGGTATATATTTTTTTATAACTGTATATTTTGAAAAAAAAAAAATTTTTAATTAACAATGGGAACGTGAATTGATGAGATATTTTTCAGATTAAATTTTTGTTTTAACTTTTCGTTTGAAACTGATGGAACTGAGCAGTTTGAAAGTAAAAAGGAAAACTAAAATATAATCTAAAAATAGTAAAAAAAAAAAAAAGTTGGTTTTTAACAAACTTTATGGAACAAAAACAGTCTCCATAATTGCCTCTCTGGCCAACGTCCCTGTATGCTCACCTCTATTTCAACCTTATGGAGTTCATTTAGGGCCACAAAGTTTACTCTAAAACTTTTTTTTTTTTTTTTTTATAAAGATCTGACACCAAAAATTATTTTTTCAAAGTACTTTTACCATACTCCTTTTTTAGTTTTGGATTATTTATTTTTTAAGATTATTTTTCCTTCTATTTTTCAGATTTTTTTTTCCAGTTTAAATTAGTAAAAACAAAACAAATTAAACCCAGAAAAAAAAACCTACAATTTGAAAAGTAGTGATATTTTCTGTTTTAAATTTGTTAAATTTAAATTTTGTTTCTTAGTTACCTTTTTTTAGATTTTGAAGAAATAACTACAAAATGCAGAGGTAATATTTTACAAAAACACTTGTTGCCAAATAATTTTTCATTTTGAAATTTTGTTTTTAAGTTTAACAAATCTTTTAAACCCTAGGGTCCATGTTTAGTGCCATACTTGCATGAAATATTACATTTGTTTCACATAAAGTCAAAATTTAGAAGTCAGAAATAAAACACTGGTTTCATCATATTAAACAGGAAGACTGAACTCAAAGGTTGCCATTTGTGGAAGTTCAAAGATGAGAACAAACCCAAATTCTCGGGGTTATTCTGCCGTTATTCTGGTGGTTCATATTTTAAAGAAGTATTTTCACATTTATCACATGTATTTCTTAATTTATGCAATTAGTTGGTTTTCCTTAGAAAACTGAACCAATCTGACTGGATGATCTAGTAGAGACACCTCTGTAAACGTGTTGTGAAATGGTCCTGAAGAAATTCATTTTATTAATATTTATAATAACAAAATTAGTTTGGAACTATATATATATATATGTGTGTGTGTGTTTCCATGTATGGTTAATGCAACTATTCCTTATTTGTGCACATTAAGGATGTTTTTGATAAAAATCCTTTCATTAAAATTCCATCAGAACGCTGATAATATTAAGTGTGTCTCAGCCCCCCCCCCTTCAGTGTCCACCATATTGGATCAGTCCATTTGCTGCACATGTTCAGAAAGGTCCAAACAGACAGCAGCAAACCATTTGAAAACAAACCATGCAAAGAGCAGTGTTGCCAACTTAGCGCTTTAGTCGCTATATTTAGCCACTTTTCAGACCCCTCTAGCACTTTGATTTCTAAAAAGCTCCTAGCGCCAAATCTAGAGACTTTTTTCTGCTACCGGAGACTTTGGAGACAACATCTAAAAGCAGCGAACTCTGCTCTCCAGAGCGAGTAGATTGGTAACCCCGCCTCCTGCTCTCCTCTATCTTGTCTGCTGTCATGATTCATGCAGCTATTATTTCATCCAAATGAAAAATGGAGAACAGATAAGCAGATCATGGCTTGTCTACAGTGAAAAGAAGGACTGGGTTATTTACTTTGGCCTTTTTGGAAACACAGGAAGGAGCAATCAGCTAAGTGAGCTTAGTGCTTGGAAAAAATCTTTCATTCCTTTAGAGACAGCATGAAAAGTCAGCTGAGTACAAAACATAGAGAGGAAAACAAGAAGAAAAGGGACAAGAAGAGAGGGACACAACCTAGAACAGATAATGGATGTCTATTCTATTCAGAGGGCCCCCTGCCTGTCTTTGCCTAGGGCCCTACATTTCCTAAACCCGCCCCTGGATGCCGTACTGGGTGGAGAGGAAGTTTGTGAATCAAGTTCTTACATTCCAGAACTTTCTGCTGATATGAGACCATAAAATAAAAGCTTTGTCCCCTTGGAAAGTTTGATCCTGTTTTCTGAAATACCAGGCAGGAGAATCAGACATTTTTTCTACTGGGTGCAGTACAGCGGAGATCCAGTAGATGAAGCTTTTTCCTGCCTTCCCATAATTTAGGAATTTGACATATTTAAGATTACCGTTTTCTATCAAATCTCAATTAGAACTCAAGAAAAACTGATAAATTCAGCTGTAAAAATTCTACTTAATACTATGTGGCTACATGTAATATGCCCCCCTAGGGGTCAGGAACCCCCTATATAGAGGAAGGGTGTGCAGGTGGTGCATGTTATGGATGACCAGCTCTACCATATTAAAATAAATAGATAAAAATGTAAATGTTCAATAAATAAATAAGCATATTTTAATTGCAGTAAAATGCTAACCAACCAATGGGCAGAAAGTGACCCTCTAAGACACGCCCCCTCCTCATTTGCATAATGACAGGCTGTAAAAACGCATTTAAATAGCATTTAAAAAATAAATAGGGTAAAAAAAAAATACAAGGTAAGTATAAAACAGACAAAAATGTTATAACATGCCCATAAATAATTACTATAAAAATAATCAATTAATAAATAAAGTTGAAGATTATAACAGACAATTAATAAATAAGGTAATTATTACAAAGGTGAATAAATAAAGATGCTAACTAAAAGAGATATATAATTTAATTTTTTACCTACATTTATTTGTTTATTATATTTTGGGGGGCAATTATTGTATACTTATTTATTAATGGTGCATTTAGTTATTTCTGTATTTATTTTGAAATATGGCAGAGTTGGTCCTCCATATACTATAGCTTTAAGAGACAAAGATAAACATCTAAGACAATAAATATCTAAGTTAGGGTTTGATTGATTTTGAGTTGTAGCTTTTGTTAATTTCTGAATAGAAGAAAATTTGTAAACCTAAATCTTAAAATAAATAAATAAATAAAAACCCCAAAATCTTAAAAAATTTAATCTGAAAAACAAATGTGAAAAATAAAATCTCAAATTAGAAAATAGGAAACATAAAGCTTTTTTTATTGAGAAGTTTTTCCAGAGTTCCTTATTAAAGTTTTGTTTTGTTTCCTATAATATTGGAGCAAATGTCTCCCCATAGCTTATTGGGGAAACATTTGTAAAGTGTAGAAGTCAAAGATTAGGAGGAATATTTATGGTTATTTAATGTGTTTTAAGAGAAAAAAACAGGGGTTGTTTTCTTCCACGTCTTTTTTTCACTGTGTCATTCATTCATTTATAAAAATCTTATTTTTTCATTAAAAGCAGTCGTTTCTATGGCAACACAGTGACGCCCCATGTGCGTGGCTGGAGCTTTGTGGCACAGGTTAACATAACATTAAACATTTGCCTATTTCTGAAAACAAATTTATACAAACTACTAAACTATTTCATCCATTCTGAAATTAATGACGTTTTTTTATGTATTAACTTGTGATTTTCTTTGCCATAGGAGATTCCCAGGCTTTTACTTTGGTAGTTCACTTCCGCTTTTTGGCAAGTGAATTTGCATATTTGCTAAATATTTAATATTTAGCTTGTTAAATAAATCTTAAATTTGAAGCTAAATATTTATTCAAAAAAAGTAAATACTTAACTTGGAGCTAAATATTCAGGTTCAGGGTAAGGTTGTGGTTCAGGATCCTCCTCCGTGTCTCGGGTCTGGTTCCGGTTCTGGTTCCGGAATCTCCACCCTGTCTCGGTTCAGGTTCTGGTTCGGGATCCTCCTCCGTGTCTCGGGTCTGGTTCTGGTTCCGGAAACCTCAAACGGTTCTGGTTCCGATTCTGGTTCCGGATCCTCCTCCGTTTCTCGGGTCTGGTTCCGATTCCGGAACCTCAAACGGTTCTGGTTCCGGTTCTGGTTCGGGATCCTCCTCCGTTTCTCGGGTCTGGTTCCGATTCCGGAACCTCAAACGGTTCTGGTTCCGGTTCTGGTTCGGGATCCTCCTCCGTGTTTCGGGTCTGGTTCCGGTTCCGGTTCTGGTTCCGGAATCTCCACCCTGTCTCGGTTCAGGTTCTGGTTCCGGTTCCAGAACCTCCTCCGATCCTGGTTCCGGTTCTGGTTCCAGATCCTCCTCGGTGTCTCGGGTCTGGTTCTGGTTCTGGTTCAGAATCCTCCTCCGTGTCTCGGGTCTGGTTCCGGTTCTGGTTCCAGCAGGCGGTCCTATGCTCCTTTGATCCCGCAGCGTCATAGAAAGTGGGCGGTCCGATAACATCCGGGAGGAGATGACGCTCCGATTCCTGCTCTGGCTCCCAGTCTTCCTCCTCCTGCTGCTCCTCCTGCTGCTCCTCGCTGGTGTTCCGTATCGATCCAGGCTGTGAAGCAGGAATCCAGGAGAACCGGGCCGGTTCTGGACCTCCCCTGGCAGACAGAGGGTAATGGATCCTTTCATCTCTCCTTCTCCTCCTGTTGTTGCTGTGGAGGTGATGAAGATGCCGCCTCCTCTTTGTCTCCTCATCCTCAGGCCTCCCGTGCAGCGGTTCTGTTTGCTCGGTTCTAATAGAACCGGGTCATGGAGCCGCTGCAGCAGTTGATGCTTGATGGAGGAAAGCTCTTTGATCTGATGCCGATCATTAGTTCCCTTTGATCATGCCGCCCTGGTTGGGTTCGGATGTTTTGATGATGATGATGATGATGAGGAAGCTGCACGCGCTGTCATGGGCAAAAGGCGACCCGCAGTTTGAAAGCTTCCTTTGATGTTTTCTGGATGGGGGGGGTCAAAATGGCAGCGGCGGCATCTTTGTGGTTCTGATCCAAAACGGCCCAGTTTGCTGAGGACCGAACCCTCCGTCCTCAGCTTTAGGTTCTGTTGGACCGACTGACCCTCTGGAGATTCAAGCTGTGACCAACTTTTTAGGAGATTTGAAGGAAATGTAGATTTGTATTTATTTATTTTTTGTTAATAAACGCAGAAGGATGTGATGCGTTCAGGGTCACCGAGCTGCAGGAAACAATGCTGCTGCTTCATAGCCGGTCTAAGGCAGAGGCGAACTTAGCGTCCCCAGGTATAAAGCAGTCAGCCATTAAATAGGGTTCCTTAAACAGGCCATTAAAAATCATTAAATTATTATTTTAAAAATTAATTAACTGGAAAGTGACCTGAGATGACACGAAGAGGCTTCATGTTGGCAGAAACCAGTTGTTGTTGTTGTTGTTGTTTTTGTTGCTCAGACCATTGTTGTGTGTAGCTGATACAGCAGGTAACATTTGCTGCAGTGCAGCCCTGAAAATATAGAAAGTTCTGTGTTTGGTGTAACAAACTTTCTCTTTTTAACTTAAAAAAAAAATGTTTTTCTTTGTTCATGTTTTACCAATGGAGCTTCTAATAAAGCTTAATGCCGATGAGTGAGAGGGACACAAAACATCCATCACAATAATTCAAATTAATCGGTTTTCCTTCCTGTCAAAGAATAGAATCCAAAGTCACAAATTAAAATCTTAGGTTATATTTAGTTAAACATTATATTTGTGTTTATTTTATAAACTCTGCAGTGGTTGTAATTGTTCAATGACAATTTAACCAGATCATCCAGTCAGATTGATTCAAAGTTTTCTATCTAAGGAAAACCAGCTGATTGCATCGACTCATTGACTCTTCAGCAATCCCTCACACTAAGCATGCTTGTAGCGACAGTGGAGAGGAAAAACTCCCTTTGAACAGGAAGAAACCTCCAGCAGAACCAGGCTCAGTGTGAGCGGCCATCTGCTGAGGCCCACTGGGGTTCAAGGAGACAGAAGCAGACATAGAAAAAGAAGCATAGATACAAAAGGCAACTGTCAACCAGCTCCACAGGCGGCCCCGTCCAGGAAACACACAGCCAGGCAGACGAGCTCCGAGCCAGCTCCCATGTCAGAGGATGAAGAGAGCACATCCAGTTAGTCACAGTCAGAGAAACAGGACTACACTGGAAAACAGGCCAAGCTCCAACCTCTAGAAACAAAGGTGTTGATGGCAGCAGCACAGCTGATATTTCTCTCCAGGATGGAGTCACAGCCAAACAGGAACAGACCAGATGAAGCTACTATGAGAAAAAGCAGAGAGAGCAGAACGTTAGAGATTGAACTAACAGATTCTGCAGAGTGGGAGAATAGAGAGAGAATGATGAAAAAGGGGACCCTATGTCCTCCAGCAGTCTAAGCCTATAGCAGCATAAATGCAGAATAACTGAATAATATAAGTATTTTTGATGAGGTATAAGAAAGGTAGGGTGAAGTAGTAACATCTATCTGGACTGATATTCCCCCCCGCCCGATCGGGGTGTTAACGCTCCGCCTACCTCTCTCTACCAGCCAGATCGAAGCCGCATCTGTAGACGACTGGACAAACCAGTAAAGTGGAGATGGAAATTGACCCTCTGTCTTATCCATTTAATTTCCTGCAGATGGCTCATGTTTAATGCAGGGGTCTTGGAGAACTGCCAGTGTTGCTTTTTAAATGGTAGACTACTATCTGTAAACCAGTGCAATAACTGCTCAATGAAGTGACGTTTCCCAGCATGAAGCATTTATTAAACCTTTTCTCCCTCTACCTTTAGTTTGTTAGTGAACAAAACGGCCTGTCCAATCTGTCTGGCCTCACGGAGAAGGAAATTAATACTCTCAGGTGTTTATTGGGAGCATATTTTTCAGCAGAATTATTAAACATTACTTCTGAAACCAGCTGCTTCTCTATCAATAAGATTATAGCTCTGATCTGGACTTGGAATTTTGCAGAAAGATAAAATGGTGCTGCGTTATTTCTTATTTCTTCCACTGTCCAAAACGCTCAGTTTTACCGAAATAGCGGATTGTAAATTGACTTCTTGGCCTCAGGCTGTCCTGTGCAGGGGCAGGGCTTAGTTTTATAGACATGGGGGGCCTAAACCACCAGGGGTGCCCCAAAAAAATTTATTTTCCTTTTTTTTTTTATGTATTACACATACAATCTGTTAAAAGGTGTCAGGTTAAATAGTAATTTCAATTCATTTTTTGCTGTTTTTTATAAAAGTATAAAGAAATTAAGATATTAGCAAAGAGGAAGGCTTCAGCCATCATAAAATTGGTGTAGTGATGCCACTGCCTCTTTTATTTCATGCCACCTCTCTTCACGGCCGTCAATAGGTTTTTAGGTCGAGGGGGACCTGGCCTCCTGGAAAAGGTAAATTATGTAAAGAATGTTGGGAGCACTACAAATGTGATTGCAGCAGCTATGAATGTGTCCCCCTCTGCTGATAGTATATGTTTGGTTCAACTGTGGGCTCAGCAGTTCTTCCTTTATTTCTTTGTATCTGTATCTTTCATCTTGAACCGTAAACATCAAAGAGTTGGAGTGGTAGCAGGATGTGTTTGATTCTTGTTTGTTTGTAAAACACAAGGCTACAATGAGCACTCAGCTTACAGGCTGGTTAGTTCTGTTCTCTGACCTGGTGTATTGCAACTCAGTTATACCCCACCCAGGGACGCCAATCAGTATATGTTTTTAGGATTGTTCAATATCTTAATAAAATATGTATGGGCAATATTAGGATTAGGAAGGCTGAAACATACTTCATACTCCTCATAATTATAATTATAATTTAATATTTATTCAATTCAGTTTATTTCTATAGCTCCAATTCACATCATATCATCTCAAGGCACTTTACAGAGTCGATTCAACCAGATCATCCAGTCAGATTGGTTCAAATTTTTATATTTAAGGAAAACCAGCTGATTGCATCGACTCATTGACTCTACAGCAATTCCATTTGAACATGAAGAAACCTCCAGCAGAACCAGGCTCAGTGTGAGCGGCCATCTGCTGAGGCCCACTGGGGTTCAAGGAGACAGAAGCAGACATAGAAAAAGAAGCATAGATACAAAAGAAAATGGTCAACCAGCTCCACAGGACAACATAATGTCTAACATAACGTTAGAGATTGAACTAACAGATTCTGCAGAGTGGGAGAATAGAGATAGAATGAAGCAGAATGATGAAAAAGGGGTCCCTATGTCCTCCAGCAGTCTAAGCCTATAGCAGCAGAACTATAGAGATAGCTCAGGATAACCTGAGCCACTCTAACTAGAAGCTTTATCAAAAAGGAAAGTTTTAAGCCTAGCCTTAGGGTTTCTGCCCCTTGGTCTCTTTGTTGTTTTCTATTTTAAATGTATTATTTGATGTTCAAGTAATCCTGTGTTAAAACTGTTTATTTATTTTATTTTAATTACCTTTTTATTCTATGTTAACAAACCCTATAGTTAATTTTCCTATTAAACCCTCTCTATTTGTTGTAAATCATATTTCTTTATGATGCTTAATTTTCTTTATTGCATGAAAGCTTCTTTATTGTGAAAGTTGAGATGAAGTTATAAAACGCAGAGGATCCACTGTTAGCATTTCCAGGATGGTTACCTAACGTGTTCAAAGAGAGAACAAAGCGTGGAGAGCTCTGTAATGCCTTAGCACTGCTGTGTTTTCTATGTGTAGGTGGTCTTGCCCACCTCTGATTATTAATAGTGTTGAGCTGAACCAAAACTCATTTGCAGACACATGGACTGAGCTTTGACTCGTTTCAAATAATGTCACAGTAGTTTAATAACGGTGTGATTTCTGTGGATATTTCAGATTTAAATAAAGGTTCAGGTTGATGTGGAATAATGATTTTCTCCCCATCTCTCTCTGGGATGTCCCATGTTCTCCTCCTCAGCAGCGAGCCCCAGGTGTGGCCGGTGGGCATGGTTCTGAAGGGTAGCTCAGAGGCTCTGTGTCCCCCCCCATCTCTGGAGCTGCGCCCATCCTGCAACAAGAGCCAGCCCTCTCCTCCTCTGGGCTCCGGCTCACAGCCACATGACGGAGTCATCACTGAGGACAAGGAGCCAGTCAAGTATGGCGAGCTCATCGTCTTGGGGTGAGATCATGTTTTGTATCTGCTAAGTTATTTGAATGATATAATAAACTTATTAGTTTAATCTAGTTTTAGTTTGTGGGAAACGGAAAAAGAGTTTCAGAAAAAAAACAGACCAACCTCCTCGCTGCGCCCGCTTAACTCCTGAAGCCTGATTGGCATAAGAACAGGTCAGACTCTTTCTATTAGACTTTCTTCCTTAAATCCTGGTAGGAAGACCTTTATAATCTTTATCACCATTTATGATGTTTATAACCAGTCACTGAAATATAGATATACAGATGTGATTGAAAGATTACATACACTTCCATTAAGGACAGAAAAAGAATCATCTTTCAGTAAAAAATAAATTGAAATTGACAAAAGCAAAAATTAGAAATTATAGAAAAATATGAAGAAAATTAATCAATATATATATCTATATCTATATAGATATAGATATATAGATATATACTACTGTTCTAAAGTTTGGGGTCACCCAAACAATTTTGTGTTTTCCTGAACAGTCACACTTATTCACCACCAAACGTTGTGAAATTAATAGAAAATAGAGTGAAGACATTGACAAGGTTAGAAATAATGATTTCTATTTGAAATAAGATTTTTTTTGTTTTTACATTAAACTTTGCTTTGGTCAAAGAATCCTCCATTTGCAGCAATTCCAGCATTGCAGACCTTTGGCATTCTAGCTGTTAATTTGTTGAGGTAATCTGGAGAAATCCCCCCCCACGCTTCCAGAAGCAGCTCCCATTGGTTGGATGGGCACTTCCTGCGTTCCATACGGTCAAGCTGCTCCCACAACAGCTCAATGGGGTTCAGATCTGGTGACTGCACTGGCCACTCCATTACCCATAGATTACCAGCTGCACGATTTGGAGGTGTGTGTAGGGTCATTGTCCTGTTGTAGGATGAAATTGACTCCAATCAAGCGCTGTCCACTGGGTATGGCATGGCGTTGCGAAATGGAGTGATAGCCTTCCTTATTCAGAATCCCTTTTACCCTGTACAAATCTCCCACCTTACCAGCACCAAAGCAACCCCAGACCATCACATTACCTCCACCGTGCTTAACAGATGGCGTCAGGCATTCTTCCAGCATCTTTTCATTTGTTCTGCGTCTCACAAACGTTCTTCTTTGTGATCCAAACACCTCAAACTTGGATTCATCCGTCCACAACACTTTTTTCCAGTCTTCCTCTGTCCAATGTCTGTGTTCTTTTGCCATCGTAATCTTTATCTTTTATTGGCCAGTCTCAGATATGGCTTTTTCTTTGCCACTCTGCCCTGAAGCCCAGAATCCCGCAGCCGCCTCTTTACTGTAGATGTTGACTCTGGTGTTTTGCGGGTACTATTTAATGAAGATGCCAGTTGGGGACCTGTGAGGCGTCTGTTTCTCAAACTAGAGACTCTGATGTACTTATCTTCTTGCTCAGTTGTGCAACGCGGCCTCCCACTTCTTTTTCTACTCTGGTTAGAGCCTGTTTGTGCTGTCCTCTGAAGGGAGTAGTACACACCGTTGTAGGAAATCTTAAATTTCTTAGCATTTTCTTGCATGGAATATCCTTCATTTCTAAGAACAAGAATAGACTGTCGAGTTTCAGATGAAAGTTCTCTTTTTCTGGCCATTTTGAGCGTTTAATTGACCCCACAAATGTGAGGCTCAGGAAACTCAATCTGTTCAAAGGAAGGTCAGTTTTGTAGCTTCTGTAACGAGCTAAACTGTTTTTAGATGTGTGAACATGATTGCACAAGGGTTTTCTAATCATCAATTAGCCTTCTGAGCCAATGAGCAAACACATTGTACCATTAGAACACTGGAGTGATAGTTGCTGGAAATGGGCCTCTATACACCTATGTAGATATTGCACCAAAAACCAGACATTTGCAGCTAGAATAGTCATTTACCACATTAGCAATGTATAGAGTGTATTTCTTTAAAGTTAAGACTAGTTTAAAGTTATCTTCATTGAAAAGTACAGTGCTTTTCCTTCAAAAATAAGGATATTTCAATGTGACCACAAACTTTTGAACGGTAGTGTATATATATATATATATATATATATATATATATATATATATATATATAATGTGTGTGTATGTATGTTCAGTCAGACTTCTGCACCTGTTGCCAGTTATGTTGGTTCCTGATCATCATCAAGGTGCTTTAATTTTTCTAGGACCGTTTAAAATTATTCGTTTAAATAAATATTTTATTGAACTAAATCATCATTTAGTAATTTTTTTTATTATAACTTTTTCAGTTTTGTTTGAATTTATCGTTGTCTTTAATAGGACGGTATCTAAACCTTCAAGCACAACTGTATATACGTATTAATGTATATATCTTTTACGATTAAATTTAAAGGATCTTAAACACAGAATTGTGGAGTGGATTTTGTTTTATTATTGTTGGAAACAAAGAAGACGTTTTATAAACCGAAATGTGAAGAAGAAAGAAAATGCAAGCCAGAAATTAAACTTTTAAAATCTTCTTTATCAAAAACATTAACATCACTGTTTTCTCAGATATCATTATAGTATTTTTAATCACATTTTATTTATTTTTTTACTTTAAATTATTTTTCTATTTTTTTTACATTTTAAATTTTTTTTTTTGTTATTTTAAATTCCTTTATTTAAATTATTTTTTAAAATCTCTGTTTTTTTAATTTTTTTTACGAATGACTTTCTTTTCAAACTACATTTTACAGCTCACCTTCACTAGATCACCAAAATGTTAGCTTTAAAAAACATTTTTAAAAAGCTAGTTTCACGTTCCTTATTTATATGATATTTATGTTTTTATATATTTTTTAAAAAGTCAATATTGACATTACGATCCAGGTTGTGTATCTGGCTGCAGGTAATTAGATTAGAAGAAGCAAAACATTTGACAGCTGAGATCTGAATTCTACAGACAGTGAACAAACAATCAAAGTTCCTCATTTATTTTGTTTTAAAACAGTCATCCTAACATTATGAGCCATTTAATAAAATAAGGTTATAAACACCATATTTAGTCCTTTCTGAGCCTTAATAGGATTCTAGCACTGTGTGTGATGAGCAGACATAAACAGCAGTGGCGCCACCTGCTGGCAGAACCACAGAACTATCAGAAAGCCAGATGGGAGCAATTTGAGTGTCTTCTAAATTGAGAAGACAGCAGGACACGGTCATATTTCAGAAAAAAAACTTTGTATGCAACCAGAGAGATTCTCTGGCATGAAATTTGAAATAATATTTTAAAAAAACTTGCTTTAATCATTTATTCAGGTTACAGCAGAATTATTTCTAACCACTTTTCCCTTGTTGTATTTTAGCATTATACATTATTTTCCTTATTGAGATAAATGTCGTCCTCTGACTCTTCCCAGCCACAATGGGTCACTGGCAAATGGTGACAAAGGCCGTAGAAGAAGTCGCCTTGCCCTTTATAAGCGACCTAAAGCCAATGGGGTCAGACCAGATGTTATCCACAACGTCTCGACACCTCTGGTGTCAAAGGTACGGAGTAAAATCCCCTGAAAAAACCATGAGCAGTTCACATCCTGCTACCGTGCCGTGACCGCTTATCCTTCCTATCAACAGGCTCTTAGCAACAAAAGCCAGCACAGCATCTCCTACACATTGTCCCGGAGCCACTCTGTCATCGTGGAGTACACACATGACATTAACACAGACATGTTTCAGGTGAGTTTGCTTTACTGCTTAAAAAGGTGTGTTCACACTGGATGTAAATAAGGATTTAATATGTTATCTTTTTGTAAATGCACAATCGGAAGCAGATCAAGGGTCTGTGATGGATGCCAATGAGGCCCGGCATACGCTGTGCCATGTTTTCAATTATACTCAACTAAAGCTTATACTTTATGGCGAAATCGCAGGATTTAAAAGTTCACAGCTCACAATGTATGCGGCTGACGCTCTGATGCCATCTACCTGCTCACACTGTACGTCTAAAAACCCCACGTCGGACTCAGCGACGAGAGATGGCGCTGTTCGGACTCATCAATCTGGAAGAAGTAGAACTCCCTTGTTTGCACGTGCACAGTGCGCTACGTTCTGCTAAATTGGTTCGTAGCTCTGCTTCAACAGCAAGATTTGCCCAGGAAAACCTCCCAAGAGCCGACTGAATTTCACACATTTGATCTTCTGACCTTACGATTCCTGATCGGGAGCTCGTCGTTAGAGCCTAATCGGCCTTTGTTACCTGCATGTGCAAAGACGACGTAGGACGCATCATGACCCCTTGCTCACACTGGCTCCGGTGCGGTTACCGAGCCGACGGAGACCGCAACTCCCGCACACCCCCTCTCATACCGCCCTTTTGACTACGGTGCGGTGTGGCTCTGCGGCTCCGGCAACAGGTCCGGAGATTTAACTTGCGAGAACAGAACTTCACTTGAGTTCACGTAACTTCACGCGATAACACGGCCCAAATAAGGATATTTGCGAGAGCTTGTTGCGGTGGGCTCCGGCACGCCGCAAGGATAGCTTTCTTGCTGAATTTTCTGCAGCGCCGGAGTGTCTCGGTAACCGCAGCCGGACAGCTCAGCAGCCGGTGAGAGAGGTTTACGTCTTTTTAATGACTTGGAATCACTGCGGCGCCGCACCCACCGCACCGCAACGATAAGACCGCAGTCGGTGTGAGCCGGGGGTGAGGAAGAAACTTGGCCCGATCTAAAATATTCTTACACGACTGGCGAATCGGCCTGAAAAGTGCAAAAACAGTGTATGCTAACCCTAATGCGAGTATGTCAAGACAGCACTGCAAATCAGTGGTGGGTGTGAGAGTTTGGCATTCAGAACTTTTCTGTCTGTCAGAATCGCGTTGACCAATCAGGGACTGGATGTGGTTGTGGTGCAGGTCAAAGAGCGCAGTGGAGACAGCTTATATGAAATTCAAAATCTGTCCCCGGAGATGAGAAAGCAGAGCATTTCCACTGGAACTACCATCCAACAGGGTGTGGTACTCGCCGAACTGGGGGCAGATCTGGTAGACCCAGAGATGCCAGCCCCCATATTTGGTTTTCCACAGTAACAAAACCTTCACTCTTCGGGGTAGAATCAAATCTGCTATGTTAAGAGAAACCGGCCAGCAGATGGACGCTCCCATTTGATGACGCGGTGACGCAAGCTGGGCGATAACCTTCACGTCTATGTTGATTGTTTGCAAGAGTGAGAGAGACGAAATGTCAAGTGACCAACAGCAGACAAGCAATGACGTTCAATAAGAACATGACTCCTCTTGGCCGATAAGAGTCGCCCCAGCGCTCCCCTGCTCGTTTCCGTTTGCTAGCCGATTTCCAGGTCTGCGACTGCTGATGGTTAGATTAGCTAAGCAGCAATCTCCACATGGCTTCTGAGCTCCTTTGCTTCCTTAAGTTGGCACAAATGCTCCAAAGCCTAACCAGTATGCTCCCTTTTGTTGCTTCTTGTTTCGTTTTAATCTGAGATCTCTGCCGCAAAGAAGAAGTCATTTCTCAGATCTATCACAGAGCTACTGTGAGAGCTGTTTCCCATGTTAGCTAACAATAAAGAAAACGGATTAAATCCAACTTAATTACTTATTCTAAGGCCTGGTGATACTTCGGACTGACTTAAACCCAAATCCCCTTCAGATGCACGTTTCTGCTCATATTAGCTGGTTTGCTCAAATTTCAGTCCCTTAATGCAGCAGCCTTCAACGTTTTCCAGACCAAGGACCCCAAACTGATGGCGAGATGCAGCGGGGAACCCCTAATTATATATATTTTTTTAAATAGTGTTCTGTCCAACTGGTCCTAAAGTCATTCTATTACAGATGGAGTAATGAAACGAAAGTAATTTCACTCTGGGGTTATTAAAGTATTTCTGATTCCTCTCGCTTGTTTCTGAATCCCACATCGTAGCATGGTATAGACAATTCACGTTAGCAGTTTGAAGAACACCTGCTTGCTTCTGATGCGTTAAAAAGTGAAGATGGATGCGTAATATGACTCATCCAATGACACTAGTTTCCAGTTAGACTCTATGTAATGAATAAAACTCAGAAGTAGAATGAACAATAAGTAATGAATAAAGTATAGTGTAAGAGCCAGTTAATGGGGAGTTCATATAGAATAATAATTTAGATAAAAAATTTATAAATATGCTTTATTTACTTTTAAGAAATTCATGATGAGTATATGTTCTAGAATGTATAACTTAGTTAATACAAAAGGATGCTTTTATTGTGAAAAGTAATTTGGCTTCCACTACGTAATGCGTAACATTAATATTTTTCTAGTATTCACGTTTGAGTTCAGATTGCAGTTGGATACGGTGGAAGCAGCACAATTTTTTGACCGATCTGTACCGAGCCTTTCGTTTTTTCTGTAAGTGTACTTTTCTGAGTTCTTCAAGTAAACATCATTAAAGAAGACTTGGTTTCAGTCGAGTGATTCAAATATTGGCTGTTAGACAAACTGCAAAGGTGGTACAACAAACTTTTGGGACGCAGAGTGCCACTACATATAGATACCTTAAAAGCGTACTTAAGTAAAGTAACAAAGTATTTTTTACTTGACACCTCTGAGCATTTCTAATATCCCTCCTCCAACTCAAAGTAAAAAAAAAAAAAAAAAAAAAACGTCTCTATTTTAAGAACAAACTTTTACCTCTGGAGAATTTAAATGTTTTTTTTTCTGTGTAGACGGCACAACTAGTCTTGTTAACTAGTCTTGTTAACTAGTCTTGTTGTGGTCCATCTACACCTTATGGACAAAGGACAATCTTTGGAGGACCAGAATGTTCTCATTTTGGACAAAGAAGACAGGTGGTTTGAGAGGAAGGAAGCCATCTATGTTAAGAAAGGAAAACCAACCTTAAAGGGGGGGGGGGGTTATTGCTGCAACCTACAATGCAGCAATAAAATTGATTCCTTCCCGCTATCATTGCAACCTAGGGTTGCCAACTCCCTGAAAACAAACACCTCATGTGCGTGACGGGTGACCCGACTGCCTTCACCCCTATTATTTGACTATTTGACTCAAATCTGCATTGAATTAGATTCATATTAGTGAGCGACATGAACACATGGAAAATAAATGATTATCTAGCGATTCACTTTAATACAAAATAACAAACTTTGCTGAATAAAATAAGTATCTTAAACATCAGCCTGTCCTGCTTAACTTCAAACTGTAAAAATGAATATAAAACAATAAATAAATAGTGCACATTTTTGGTGCAACAGCAAACTTGTGCAAACTTGTAAACATATTTGTGCCTTAAATGCAATGACTGTAGGCTACAGTTGGAAAACGGAAATAAAAATCATTAGCCTAATTCCACATAATGTGGCGATAGCCGACTTTTCCACTTGTATTTCCTCTGAGCTCTTGCGGCAGTGAGGAGTTTTCCGCCCCTAAAAGCAGCGTCAGCATTTAACCGTTCGTCCTCCATGATGCTCTGTTGTGTCCCGCTATCTTCTCCGATTCCGGATCGTTAATTATATGTTGTCAGTTCATTGGTCACAGCGTAGGACAGGGAGGGAAACAAGTTTACCGTAAGTCTTGTATCTAACGTGCCCTTGTTTTTCATTTTCCATTAGCTTTTTACTGATTATTTTTTGAATCTCCCAATAAATGGGACAAAGTGCGTTCCTTTTCCACTTAATACGGGACAGGTACTTCTATTTCTGAATATGGAACGATTCCGGTTTTCAAGGGACGGGTGGCAACCCTATACCAACCCCAACCCATTTACAGGGGAGCAGAATACCTCGCCTATTCAGCCAGGTCAACAATTCCCTCTAACGACCCCCCTTTCAGAGACATAGACAGGTATGGGGCATTGCAGGATAACAAAGAAGCCAAACGACCCCCATTCCAAAGGGGGGGACCCGTTCATCCGTTTCTATTTGCATGTTTTCTAAACTAAAACCAGGCTTTGTTGGGCTGCTGGATAAAACCTGGAACTAAACGCTATTTCTGACATTTTGGATTGAAAAAACTTCCTGGATGGAAGAGAAACGTCTTCAAACTTGGAAACAAAGTCCAGTGGATTGATTTTAACTGTTTTAGAATGACTATGATCTGGTTGACAGAGAATCATCACCAGCATAGTGTTGTTAACATGGTTTAAATAAGACGTGAAAACGCCGCAGCCTCCAGATTATGATGTCTATGTATTTATGTGACATCACTGACCTCTGTCTTGGCTTCCTCAGATTGGCAGATCTACGGAGAGCATGATAGACTTTGTGGTCACAGATACAGCAGGCGGCAGCAGCGGTCATGGCGGAGGCGCCGCAGGGGAAGGCGGCGGTGGAGGCCAGTCGGCCCAAAGCACCATATCTCGCTACGCCTGTCGCATCATGTGTGAACGCAGCGCTCCCTACACAGCCCGCATTTACGCCGCTGGCTTTGACTCCTCCAAAAACATCTTCCTAGGGGTGAGTTCCCCTTTCCTCTGCTGAAGCAGAAACGGATCGGTGTAGGTGTAGCGAAAGGGGCAGATTGGACGAGTTGAGGCAGCTGCTCAACAAGTAGATGGGAGGGTAAAGACTGGTTGATGCTTGACGACACATTCTTGAGGTCTGCACCGTGTCATGATCTATACAGCTTATCTGTTTGTCACCATGGGGACAGTTCTGCACAGAAAAAGATGGCGGAAGAGCAAATGATTTGCTTAATCAGGAACTAATAACCTTTAGTTAATGATTCTTTACCCTGTTTGAAATAGCTAGCAGCGAATAAACATCAGGATTCCACTGAATGACTCTTGGTCAGACTTGGTAAGGGAAATGTAATGAGCATCTGAGGAACACATGAACACTAATGTTATATCAGCATTTAGATCCTTAGTGAATAAAGCTTGTCCAAGCTTCAGCAACAGCCCAAAACATGTTTCTGTAGCATAGCATAGCATGCAGTCCATCCTGTTAGCTTTGTCTTTACTCATCAGTAAACACATGAAATGATCAATTTCATCAAAAGACATATTGTTTGTTCTGTCTTTAATTGTGCCAGACCTGCAAACCTTTTTGTCCATTTCCATTGGAAGCAGTCAAGCTTCAAGCTTCTCCAGATCTCCATTCTTGCTGGAGATCCTACCGAACTGGACCTCAGCTTCATGAGCAAGGGAGAGGAGGCAAAGAGAGGAGGAATCTGGTTTTCTTTGTCCTCATAGAGAGGGGGCTGGCAAGTCACACCTCTGTAGGAGGACCTGTGGAGGAGTTGGCTGGAAGGGGGGGGGTCTCAGAGAGATCTTTTAACGGTTATTCACCAAAGCTGCGTTCTCTTCTATGGTCATCATGTTAAGATGAAGAATAGACACTGGTTCCCAATATCCAAAAACCAAGATCATGGCATATGGCACAACATAGCTAAATGCTTATTACATGATGCCGCTAGCTAAATGCTTGTTACGTAATGCTGCTAGCTAAATGCTTGTTACGTAATGCTGCTAGCTAAATGCTTGTTACGTAATGCCGCTAGCTTAATGTTTCTTACGTAATGCTGCTAGCTAAATGCTTGTTACGTAATGCCGCTAGCTAAATGCTTGTGACGTAATGCCGCTAGCTAAATGCTTGTTAAGTAATGCTGCTAGCTAAATGCTTGTTATGTAATGCTGCTAGCTAAATGCTTGTTACGTAATGCCGCTAGCTAAATGCTTGTTACGTAATGCCGCTAGCTAAATGCTTGTTACGTAATGCTGCTAGCTAAATGCTTGTTACGTAATGCTGCTAGCTAAATGCTTGTAACGTAATGCTGCTAGCTAAATGCTTGTTACGTAATGCTGCTAGCTAAATGCTTGTTACGTAATGCTGCTAGCTAAATGCTTGTAACGTAATGCTGCTAGCTAAATGCTTGTTACGTAATGCTGCTAGCTAAATGCTTGTAACGTAATGCTGCTAGCTAAATGCTTGTTACGTAATGCCGCTAGCTAAATGCTTGTTACGTAATGCTGCTAGCTAAATGCTTGTTACGTAATGCTGCTAGCTAAATGCTTGTAACGTAATGCTGCTAGCTAAATGCTTGTTACGTAATGCTGCTAGCTAAATGCTTGTTACATAATGCTACTAGCTAAATGCTTGTTACGTAATGCCACTCGCTAAATGCTTGTTACGTAATGCTGCTAGCTAAATGCTTGTTATGTAATGCTTTATTACCTTGCTTGTTATCGAGTATCTAAAACTTTGCGCTGCTAATACGCGCGTGATTAAAACTTATTCAGTGTGCTAGCAGTTTCACATAGCACCAAATTAGTTCATCATTTTTTTTCAATGTTTAATATTCACATCTAATCAATTCAGACCTAAATTCTTAAATGTTTTGTATATTTCAAATAATATTTTGTTAAGAAATGTATAGTTTATGTGCCTGAAAGAAATTACTCCTCATAGCTTCTCTTGAGTTTTTTTCTTTTTGTTTGACTGGCTGTGCTGCAGCTCCAGTCCTTTTACACAAAGACGGGTCTGCCTTCATTAATACAGATCCAATTAAGGTAAAGATCCAATTAAAACCAATCTCCTGAGATGAAACTTGTGTTATTGTGTATTTTTCACTCCTCTGGTCATCAAATTATTCCCACTTGGACAAAAAAGGAAAATGCAAAGAAAATAAAAAAAGAGATTTCATTTAAGTTAATCAAGAAATTGACAGTCTGAGGGATTTTTAATCATTGCCAATCCAGCAGGTTTAACTGTAACTGTAGGAACTAGTTCAGCAATCTCCCTCTGAGCTGTAGGTAACACAGAAAGGGCACAGTGATGTTGAACTGTTTGTGTTCTACATCAGGAACGGGCTGCCAAATGGAGAACATCTGACGGTTTGATGGATGGACTCACCACCAACGGGGTTTTGGTGATGCACCCGGCCGGAGAGTTTGTCTCTGAACCTGCTCCCGGTGTCTGGAGGGAGATCTCGGTCTGCGGCAACGTCTTCGCCCTGAGGGAGACCCGGTCCGCCCAGCAGAGGGGAAAACTGGTATTGGCATGGGTGTCACGATACGATATTATCACCATATTGCAATATCACCATATATTTGATATTTTTCCTGCCATCAAAATTAAATGTATATATATATATAAAAAAGCAACCTCTGTATAAGCTCATCAGATGATATTGATCGTTAAGTTATTTTGGTATCGATTGTTTGGGTTTGAGTCGGTCCACGTCTTCCACTCTAACTGCCTCAGCTACAGATAATGACAGCAAAAGCGCTCCACAGCGCCATCTGCCAGCCTGGTGGTGCAGAGGGAGCCCATTTACCCTCAGTTTCAGGTCAAAAGGTTTTGCTTAAAGGGGTCATAGAGGTGTGAACAGCTAATGTCCTATTAGCTGTTCTATGAGCCCTAATGCAGCCTGGTTAAAAGCCCTAGAATGAAACCACAGGTTTTCTTCCTTTTATGGTTTGATCATGAATATTTAGATGAGCTGTGCTCTGATTGGTTGGTTTACAACGAGTCAAGCTGCTGAGCAAAGACGCATCATAGCAACAAGCACTCACTCACTGAAACATCTGATTGTTGATATGGTAGGGGGACCAGACGTCCTCTTTTTCCTGGACATGTCCTACTTTTCAAAATGTCTGAGGGGAATTTCCAAAGCGTCCGTGATTTTGGTCGACTGCAGTGCAACACAATCCCGCTTTGGACAGAAAAGCTGCAAAGGTTTCACAAGCAACCACGCAAACTCCTCCCCTCACCCCGCCTTCTCTTGTTGTCTGCGCAGTGGAAGTAGTTCTAATCCACACATGATGCAGGAAGTGTTGCACTGCCTGCTCGCTCTCACTCGCATTAAAAAAACACCTCCTCACAGAGTCTAAAATCCAGGATAATTTATCCGACTTGCGGGCATCAGTGAACAACTATCGATATCAGGGAGACTACCGGAAAATCAAGGAGACTTGGGATGTCTGTCCCCCTCCTCCGGCATGATGTAAAACATGGCTGCAACGTTCAGCCAATCATGCAGCGTAACGTCACTGGCAGGAAGCAGATCTGGTTCCTCCAGCGGCTGCTAACCTGTCTAACCCCTAAATCCCACATCCTCCGCCGCTCCAGGAGAGCGTGCGCTTTATTATTATTATTAAATTCATAGGAGCAAACATGGGGAAATGAATGCTGAATTTAATATGACATATTAAAATAGTTTATTTTTGCTTGGATTTTTGTAACAGAGAGAACAAGGATGATATAATCTTTACATTTTTATCAAAACATTAGCAGCTTATCTAGAACAAAAAGCAGAGCTGGATCTATGAACACATGAATAGAAAACAGGTTTATGATTGTGAAAATATTTTCCTGTTAGCTTTCACTATAACTTTATTAACCCTTTGTAGGGCAAATCCCCCTTTACAAATATATTCCTCCCATCCCTCAGTGATCTAGAAGCACTAGATCTATATCCAGCCATTCAGCAAAGATCCTGCTACATGGCTGCACGTCTGATTTTGTCATTTGACCGATTAGATGAACCTTTGATTGATAGATTACCTGCTGGAAATTAAGGTTGTGAAAATCTTTGAAAATCAACATTTCCAGCCAATAGTGTTATTATTGGAATCAAGGAAAATATCTCATTAACTGTGGAACATTAAATAAATCTGGATATTTTGATGGCAAAAATTAATGTCAATATAATAACAAGAAACAACAACTTTTCTGAATATATTAAGAAAAATAACAAAAGTCTGACTCTGAGAGAGAAAGAAACACATTTTCTTTGGTCTAACATAACCTTAGAGGCATTAATGCCGATACTGGAACTGACAGTTTTTAGTTTATAAACCTAAATATAATTGTTAACTAGGCTTATTAACTTTTTAACTTTACTTTTTATCTTTTCAGTTAGTTTTTTACCTTTTTTTTTACTTTTTATCTTTCTAATTAACTTTTTTCCAACTTTTTTTAGCTTTTGAATTAACTTTTTACCTTTTTTTCCTTGACTTTTTAAACTTTTTAACTTTTTTTCTTTACTTTTTTACCGTTTAATAAATTATTTCCTTTTTTTCTCGACTTAAATTTTTTAATCAACTTTTTTTCCCATTTGTAAAGTGGATGCAAGTGATCAAAAAACGCTAACTTGCCCTTTAAATGGTTAAAATGATTTATCTTAGGAAATAGGAGAGGCACATTCCATGATTTCTCACATCACTTTTATTTAAATATTAATAAATATGTAAAAAATGGCTGAAACCATCACTGTCCCAGTTTCCTATTTTAATTTTCCTAAAATGTGTTTATTTTTCTGTCTGAGCTGGAAACGTCTCCAGATTAGATGCAGAAACCTGCTCACCTAATGTTGGAGGAATCACTTGCTGACTGTTTCTTGTCTTCTTCAGGTTGAGAATGAGTCAAACACCCTGCAGGACGGTTCTCTGATTGATCTCTGCGGGGCCACCCTGCTCTGGCGGACACCCGCCGGCCTGCGCCACATCCCCACCCTCAAACAGCTGGAGTCCCTTCGACAGGAGCTGAACGCCGCTCGGCCCCAGTGCCCCGTGGGCTTCAACACTCTCGCCTTCCCCAGCCTGGCGCAGCGCGAGATCGTCGACAAGAAGCAGCCTTGGGTCTACGTCAACTGCGGCCACGTGCACGGATACCACAACTGGGGCTATCGCAAGGAGAAAGGGCCCAGCAGCCCGGGGGGCACGGCGCCAGCCGGCACCGGTGATAGAGAGTGTCCCATGTGCAGGAGGGTGGGCCCCTATGTGCCTTTGTGGTTAGGCTGTGAGGGGGGGTTGTACTTGGACGCCGGCCCCCCCACGCACGCTTTCTGTCCCTGTGGACATGTGTGCTCTGAAAAGACAGTAGTGGGATGGAGCCAGATCCCGTTGCCCCACGGCACGCACGCCTTCCACGCCGCCTGTCCCTTCTGTGGTACCTGGCTGACGGGGGAGCAAGGCCACGTCAAACTCATCTTCCAAGGCCCCGTGGACTGAGGCATGCACACCTACAGGAGCCTCGCACACTCACCGAGGGTTTCACTGTTGGCTGGTGTTCTCCAGCAGAAATGTGAATGTTGCTGACGAGTACAGGAGGACGACTCCGTACGCCAGAAAACTAAAAGCAATAGTTGATGCCAAGGATTTGAATGGAACACTGTCTGGAGAAAATGTAAATAAATAGTGTTGAACTGAAAAGTGGTCTTTAGTTATTATTAGTTTGTTTTTTTGACATGAGCCTTGAACCGCTACAGTGAGGGTTTGCATCAACACGGCGCCCTGAACGCCGCCGGGTGGGCCGCTGATGAAGATGGAGCTTCGCTGTTGGATGTCTGGAGAGACTGAAAGGAAAAAACAATGGCGGGAAATTCTGGAGAGGTTAGCTCGGTCGAACTGAGTGTTGTTGGTGGATTGATGTTTGGACGAATCCAACATTTCCTCTTCCCCAACTGATAAATCTAATTCTATGCGAGATCATACAGGTTAGGCTAAATGTCTTGGTTTATTCCTGGTTTATGCACCAAATAAACCAATTATGAATGTATTCCAGACTGTTTTTAGATTCCCTTTAGCTGGAAATAAGTCAACCTTTAATTTAAAGTCGTAGGGAAGCGGCCGTTCCAACCGTTGCATTTCCTAATTCTCCCAGTGGTGCCCGACTTTACCCGAGTGAATAAAGTCAATGTGATTGGTCGATTATCAAGGGGGCGGGATTATTGTGGCGGAAGGTTTTCAAGCAAGTTTGGTTGTGGCCGGTTTCTCGGTAGCATCTTGCTAACCAGTTAGCATCTTAGTGCTAGCAGGTTCCCAATGGGAAATTCCATTGGGAACAGACTGATAATGTCAGACTGATAATGTACCATAATGTCATCCATTGTATGGATGACATTATGGTAATTACTTTACATCAAAGGCGCATCTCTGTGAGAGTGGGGAGTACCAAGATGGCGGCAGGTGACTTCAGTTTATCAGCAATCAAGTGAATAAATATAGATCAGTAGGATCTGCCCAGGGTGTAACTCCACCTGTGAGCCACCAGCTCCACCTTCAAACTGCCAGCCTCCATTTATGATGAAGTCACCGCATGAGTGACTTAACATTTATCAGAGTTGATGCCAGTGGGAGGATCTGAGCCATTCATCCAATTAAGCCTTAAAACGTCGGCCTCCAATTAGGGAAGGAACCTGGATGAATGTCTTGGTCGGTGGTTTTATTGTTCTGATTGGTTGTTTCATCCTGCAGGAAGTCCCTCCTTCCCCTTCATGTGCTGCAGGGATAAAACGTCCTGCTTTGCATCAGTCTGTCCCTGATCTTCAGACAGGGCTTTGCTTCCTCTGGAGACCAAGCTCTGCTCTGGTGGCACCACTGCTCTGTGGCTCTTCCTTCAGGAGACGCTCCTTTTTCTCGTTTACATCTCACCTTTGAACGGCGACCTGCTTTGAGGTGGACGTGTTGGGAAGCCATGCCCAGCGAGGTGCCAACTAGAGCCGCTGTAGGTACCAGATTGACTCGGGGGCCTGCGCCTTTTGATGACGTCATAATATGGCAACGCCACTCGTAACGATATGGCAACTCCACTCAAACAAACTACATTGCTTCATTCTCCTGAATTTATTCTCGTTACAAATGCAGACCGCGGGCTCAATGTAGTTTGTTTGAGTGGCGTTGCCATAATGTGACGTCATCGGGAGGCGCAGGGACCATGAAGAATTTCTTCGTAAAATTGTCCGTTTATAAACCGCAATCCCGCTTTCGAATAAAACCTACACCCCGCTATAATTACTTTAGTAAGCTGTCCAGACCAATCAAAATGTTTTGCGCAATTGTGCAAACGTTAAAACAATTATGTATTGTGACGTCATCAAAAGGCGCAGGCCCCCGAGTCAATCTGGTACCTACACCGCCTCAGCTGGACTCCATGTTAAAAGCGTGAAAATACTGAAATAAAGGTTTATAATAGTTGGCATTTCCTCCTACCTTTTTTGGCCGTTTGTAAAGTGAAGCAGTCAAAAATTAGGAGTAATTTTTCTAATAATATAAAAAAATGACTTGAGGGGAAAAAAAACAACCTTATTTTTCTCTTAAAATACACTAAATAACCATAAACATTGATCCTAATTTTCAGTTGTCAAACGGCGCCCCTTACCTACCAGTTTAGATTTGTTTTTTTAAACACATAACCTGGCAACTCTTAAACTCAGCTTTTAAGATCTCTAGATCTATCCTAGCTTCTATTCTTGGTCTTCCTGTTAAATCCAGATTAAATTCTCACAGATCCGCCCCTTTTTACATCCAGATTAAAGACAACATTTTTAAAACTGGCTTTTAATATTTTAAACACACTGTTTTATGGTCAGGATTTTTATTTTATGTTTTTACGTTTCTGTGAAGCACTTTGGTGTTCCAGGTGTTGTTGTAAATTGTTATATAAATAAACTTTTATTAAATCCAGAATAGAATTTAAAATCCTCCTTCTCACATATAAAGCCTTAAATGGCCAAGCTCCATCTGATATCAGAGATCTGATTGTTCCTTATGTTCCTAACAGAGCACTTCGCTCTCAGTCTGCAGGTTTACTAGTGGTTCCTAGAATTTCTAAAAGTAGAATGGGAGGCAGATCTTTTAGTTATCAGGCTCCTCTCCTGTGGAACCAACTACCAGTTTTAGTCCGTGAGGCAGACACCCTGTCTACTTTTAAGGCTAGGCTTAAAACTTTCCTTTTTGATAAAGCTTCTAGTTAGAGTGGCTCAGGTTATCCTGATCTATCTCTATAGTTCTGCTGCTATAGGCTTAGACTGCTGGAGGACATAGGGACCCCCATTTCATCATTCTGCTTCATTCTATCTCTATTCTGCAGAATTTGTTACTGTAACTGTATATTGTCTCTGCTCTTCCTCGCCCCATTAGCTTCATCTGACCTGGTTCTGTTTAGCTGTGATACCATCCTGCTGCTTTCAACACCTTTGATAGAGTTGAGTCTGTTTTTTCGGTGTTTAGTCCCATTTCTCTCCTAGACAGCTATGGGCTCAGCCTTTAGTGCGACTAGCTGGATGTTCTTGCTTTCATTCTTTCTTACATTAAAACTGGCCCTGAGCTTGCTGACTAAACTTTGTTTTCCCTGGACAGAGCCACCTGTGGAGCTAGCTTACTGTTTGCTTCACTAAAGCAGCATTATTGGCTCAGTTCCTCCAGGATCTCCTGCGTTGGTGACGACTTAAGGAAGCACAGGCAGGCAGAAGAAACAATAGGCCAGTGGAAAATATTTGCAGGATTATAATCCTGTGTGGATGACGTTCCGATGTGGACTTTTCTCACCTAAAAAAAAGCCCACTACCAGAAAATGGAGTGAGCCCCTTTTACATATTTTTTACTCCAACTCCATCCTTTCACTGAATTACAAGGTCTAACCAGAAAATGGCGCTTCTCTTTAGATCTTAATGTCCACAAATCATGACAGAAAAAAATATTTGAGTACAAAGATTGATTTTTAAAAAGGAATTGTAGGGGACCAGCCAAGGACCATCCAAGGACCATCCAAGGGCCATCCAAGGACCAGCCAAGGACCAGCCAAGGGCCATCCAAGGACCAGCCAAGGGCCATCCAAGGACCAGCCAAGAGCTATCTAAGGACCAGCCAAGAGCCAGCCAAGGACCATCCAAGGGCTATCTAAGGACCAGCCAAGAGCTATCTAAGGACCAGCCAAGAGCCAGCCAAGGGCCATCCAAGGACCATCCAAGGACCAGCCAAGGGCTATCTAAGGACCAGCCAAGAGCCAGCCAAGGGCCATCCAAGGACCAGCCAAGAGCCAGCCAAGGGCCATCTAAGAACCAGCCAAGGGCCATCCAAATATCAGCCAAGGGCCATCCAAATATCAGCCAAGGGCCATCCAAATATCAGCCAAGGGCCATCCAAATATCAGCCAAGGGCCATCCAAATATCAGCCGAGGGCCATCCAAATATCAGCCGAGGGCCATCCAAATATCAGCCGAGGGCCATCCAAATATCAGCCGAGGGCCATCCAAATATCAGCCGAGGGCCATCTAAGGACTAGCCAAAGATCCCCCAAGAGCCATCCAAGTGCAAGCAAAGGGCCAGCCAAAGGCCACCCAAGAGCCAGCCAAGGGCCATCCATCCAAGGGCCATCTAAGCACCATCCAAGGACCATCTAAGGACCAGCCAAATATCAGCCTAGGACTAACCAAGGAAAGGCGGGAACTTTTGATGGCTACTACTGTAGCCTGTAGCTCTAAACCTTAAAACTATTTTTAATAGATTTAGCTTTTTTTCTGAAAGGGACAAACATTGTCAAAAATTAGACTAAATATATCTTTTTTTCCATTTTCCCCCATATTTAAAACCTACAGGTTTTTTTTAACAAACATTTTTGCCCCAATTTAGCTCCATAGAGGTAGAGAATTGATTCAGTGTGTAATATTTTATTTTTCAATATTAGACAACAGATTAGAATGGAAAAACAAAAAGAAAACAAACATCGTAGAAACCAATGAAACCTGAATGACGACTAAACAGAAAAACGGTTCTGATGGGATCCAGGATGGCAACAGGAAGCCTCCATGTTTCCAGGAACCAACAGGATGAAGCCGTTTCCACCATCAGTAAAAGCAGCTGGAAGCTGCAGAGGAGGAATATTCTTCTGAGGAAACATCGGAAATGTCCAAGATGATAAATTCAGAGTGTTTAAGGATTCTTGGATCCAGAGGCGGCGGCGCCGCCGTCATCATCGTCAGGAGGACACGCCACGAAATCTGCCAACATGGAGGCCATGGCTTCATCTTCCTGCTGCAGAGCAGAGAGGAACAACATGAGGTGAAGCTGATTGAAGTGGATGATGACGCGTCGATATGTGTTGTTTTATCTGAAAGAAGCTTTTTAATTTATCTGTTGATGGTTTTAAGTTCTGAGCTAAATGCTAACGCTAATTGAGCCTGCTGTGCGTTTCAGGATGCTACAGTTGGATCGGCTAGCATTGCTAGCTTCCAGCTACCTCATCTTAGGCCCCGCGTGTATAGGGGGTGGCGGCCATCTTAGGACAAACTTTAAGGACCCTGGCTGTTTCTCAATTCACTAGAACACGAGTACGGACTCGTGATCTCGACAAGTCTGTTCCTGAGAAGAACCCAGGAAAGTCTGGACTCTGGGAGAACGATAATCATTAGCTGGTTTTAGCCTTGATTTTA